TATCAAATTTTAAAAACCTCGCTGTGGATATTATCCTGAAGAAATCACATCAGCCTTCCAAATCACTGTAAATTAACTATTCATTATTTTGTATTAACAAAGCGTAATTACTTCAATGCCCCATTATACTCATCTTCCGTTTATCAGTCTGTATTTGGAGTTTTAACTATGTAAATATGCGTATGCATTTCAACCAGTTTGTTTATCAGTCCATATTTTGGTATTAACCAGGTAAACATAAGTTGTGCGCATGCGCAAGTTTTTCCCTTTGTTCTCTGCAGTCAGCCATTAATCATTTTGTATTTGTAAGTGCAATCGATATCCCACCAGCACCCACCATGTTTATTTCCAGGTCATCAATGGCTTTACTGTTCCCAATATTAATTTGGTATTCTTCTCATCCGTTTAGGTGATGTCCTCCAACACCTATTAACACATATGTAATCACTTGCTCATGTATGTATATATCATGTTATGTTCTACCTCATGACTTTGCAGGTCTTTTGTTTTGTACAACCATGCCATGTACATCCTGGGACTCTAAGGGAGCCCCAAAGGGCATGTATTACCCCAAAATATTCTACCGTAATTCACAGTGGCTTTTGTCAGGCAATACACCTTCAGTCAGCTATGCCCATTGGGGTATTGGTGTCAGCTACACTGTGATCTGTAGCTAGTTTATATCAGTCCGGGTATTGTCTGTCAGCTACACTGTTATCTGTAGCTAGTATATATCAGTCAGGGTATTGTCTGTCAGCTACACTGTTATCTGTAGCTAGTTTATATCAGACTGGGTATTGTCTGTCAGCTACACTGTTATCTGTAGCTAGATTATATCAGTCGGGGTATTGTCTGTCAGCTACACAGTTATCTGTAGCTAGTTTATATCAGTCTGGGTATTGTCTGTCAGCTACACTGTTATCTGTAGCTAGTTTATATCAGTTAGGGTATTGTCTGTCAGTTACACTGTTATCTGTAGCTAGTTTATATCAGTCAGGGTATTGTCTGTCAGCTACACTGTTATCTGTAGCTAGATTATATCAGTCGGGGTATTGTCTGTCAGCTACACTGTTATCTGTAGCTAGTTTATATCAGTCGGGGCATTGTCTGTCAGCTACACTGTTATCCAAGGCTAGTTTATATCAGTCGGGGTATTGTCTGTCAGCTACACTGTTATCCAAGGCTAGTTTATATCAGTCAGGGTATTGTCTGTCAGCTACACTGTTATCTGTAGCTAGTTTATATCAGTCAGGGTATTGTCTGTCAGCTACACTGTTATCTGTAGCTAGTTTATATCAGTTGGGGTATTGTCTGTCAGCTACACTGTTATCTGTAGCTAGTTTATATCAGTTGGGGTATTGTCTGTCAGCTACACTGTTATCTGTAGCTAGTTTATATCAGTTGGGGTATTGTCTGTCAGCTACACTGTTATCTGTAGCTAGTTTATATCAGTTGGGGTATTGTCTGTCAGCTACACTGTGATCTGTAACTAGTTTATATCAGTCTGGGTATTGTCTGTCAGCTACACTGTTATCTGTAGCTAGTTTATATCAGTCGGGGTATTGTCTGTCAGCAACACTGTTATCTGTAGCTAGTTTATATCAGTTGGGGTATTGTCTGTCAGCTACACTGTTATCTGTAGCTAGTTTATATCAGTTGGGGTATTGTCTGTCAGCTACACTGTTATCTGTAGCTAGTTTATATCAGTTGGGGTATTGTCTGTCAGCTACACTGTGATCTGTAGCTAGTTTATATCAGTCAGGGTATTGTCTGTCAGCTACACTGTTATCTGTAGCTAGTTTATATCAGTTGGGGTATTGTCTGTCAGCTACACTGTGATCTGTAGCTAGTTTATATCAGTCGGGGTATTGTCTGTCAGCTACACTGTTATCTGTAGCTAGTTTATATCAGTTGGGGTATTGTCTGTCAGCTACACTGTGATCTGTAGCTAGTTTATATCAGTCGGGGTATTGTCTGTCAGCTACACTGTTATCTGTAGCTAGTTTATATCAGTCAGGGTATTGTCTGTCAGCTACACTGTGATCTGTAGCTAGTTTATATCAGTTGGGGTATTGTCTGTCAGCTACACTGTTATCTGTAGCTAGTTTATATCAGTTGGGGTATTGTCTGTCAGCTACACTGTTATCTGTAGCTAGTTTATATCAGTTGGGGTATTGTCTGTCAGCTACACTGTGATCTGTAGCTAGTTTATATCAGTTGGGGTATTGTATGTCAGCTACACTGTGATCTGTAGCTAGTTTATATCAGTTGGGGTATTGTCTGTCAGCTACACTGTTATATGTAGCTAGTTTATATCAGTCAGGGTATTGTCTGTCAGCTACACTGTTATCTGTAGCTAGTTTATATCAGTCAGGGTATTGTCTGTCAGCTACACTGTCATCTGTAGCTAGTTAATATCAGTCGGGGTATTGTCTGTCAGCTACACTGTGATCTGTAGCTAGTTTATATCAGTCAGGGTATTGTCTGTCAGTTACACTGTTTTCTGTAGCTAGTTTATATCAGTCGGGGTATTGTCTGTCAGCTACACTGTTATCTGTAGCTAGTTTATATCAGTTGGGGTATTGTCTGTCAGCTACACTGTGATCTGTAGCTAGTTCACATCAGTTGGGGTATTGTCTGTCAGCTACACTGTTATCTGTAGCAAGTTTATATCAGTTGGGGTATTGTCTGTCAGCTACACTGTTATCTGTAGCTAGTTTATATCAGTCAGGGTATTGTCTGTCAGCTACACTGTTATCTGTAGCTAGTTTATATCAGTCTGGGTATTGTCTGTCAGCTATACTGTTATCTGTAGCATGTCTGGCATTCAGACTACAGCTGACTGAAGGCGTATCTCCAATTGTAATTATGTAGCACACCCATAGTTAGCTTACCCATCGGGGTAATTTAGTAGCATTTTATTTTGTCAATAAACAGTGTGCTGCAGGCTCAATGAGGATCCCCAATTAAGCCAAAACAATAAATATTATATTTCACATTTGTGTTATGTTGTCTTGTCCGAATCTGAGGAAGAAAATACACATGTTTAACGTTGCTTTGGACAGTCTTCCAGTTGCCTACATATTTATTACATGTCAACATAATGTCGGAGGAAAGCCCTATGTGATACAGATCTCAGACGTTTGCCGCTCTGGTGAAACCCACGAGCTTGGGTATAGTGATAAAAAAGTTAGAAACTTTTCCTGGTTTGGAAAAGGTAAAAGTTAATTAACTGATGGACACTTGATGGATGGACAATATGCCACTTTGTCCTGCTGAGCTAAAAATCTATAACAATAAATATGAAGAGCATGGCTTGCGTGGAAGTGGATGGACTATTTGTGCCTACTTCTCACAAAACAGCTACATGAAATAAAGATTGGATGTTGCCATAGGGAGCCATAAATGAATCAATGCAAAAAGTGTAACCAAGTGTTGCTCATCGATGTTCATACAGAAAACTTTAAATAATAAACTTGGAGCAATGATGACCAGAATCTCATTACGGTGAACAAATTCCAACAAATTGCTTCAACAAGAGGTAAAATTATGTTGGTTCCACTAACAGGAACTAATATGTTACTAACTTGTTATTGAATCTATTTGTTACAATTGGAACCAAGCTAGCTCTGTATATTCACAGACAGTGTCGTATCAGAGATACCTGTATGTGCTTCAGTGTGTCCCAAGACACAGCTATCCCTGCATAAGACAATTCGTATATCAAATTTCACTCCTAGTTCTTAGTTACTCAGGTGTATCATATTGTCTTAAACTGACTACAAGACACAAACTGAAGCCAGCCATTATACTTGTATATTATCAATTAGCTGAATGTGGGAAGGGTTGGGCATGGACCACATTTTGAGGTAATATGACCCTGTCACACATTGACCCCAAGGTCACATACATATCAGTAAAAGCTGGTTCCAGGGTTCAACAAGATATCAGCTGGACCACCTCCCACATCAGCTGATAAGCTTCAACTCTGAAAGATGTGCTCAAGAAAATATGGTTCGGCCAATCTTACTAAACATCATTCAGTCTCAGATAACATTATTAGGTTATTAATGGTATTTCATAATACATCCCTTAAACATTGAAAGGTCTCATATTCTCATTGTTCAAGTAACATTACTATTTTCATATCACACTGCCAGACAATTTTAACCAGTGACTCAAAATATTGAAGCCGATCTTTCTAAAGATAATTCAAAGTCTTAAATAATGAAAAATTAGGATTTTATTAAAGGAATTCCAAACTACATGGCTTAAACTTTGAAAGTCTCAAATTCTCCTTGTTCAATTCACAATAACATTTCCATGTCTCATTGCCTGAAACAATTTTAACCACCGACTCAAAATATTGTCTTATTTTTACCACCACCTAAAGACAATCCAGCCTTAACAAAAACATATGAAAACCTAAAAATATAATTTAATTTTGTTTTACTAATTGGAAATAGGCTTTCATAAATAATAGTTTAGTCTAAAACTTTTATTTGAAGAAATTTCTTTTAGGAATTAACATGAAAGAAACGCTGACAAAAGTTTGTTTTTCATTATGCCTCTTGTCCCTTCACACATTGACTAAGAAAACCAGTAGAACAAGAAACTACATCTGTCTGTTCTTAAACACTAATGAATTCTGAGTTATGTCATACTGAAATAATGTCATCTACTTCATTGTCATGCATATCAGGAATAATGTGAATAATAACATAAATCACATAATCATAATTTTATTTCTGTTCCATAATTATTTTACCAAAGGAACACATAACCATTTCAACATGCTAAAACTAAACCTACCGACCCAAAATAACACCTGTAAGGTCACATGTAGTATGATCTGAGCACCAAGTGACAGATCCAGATTAAATAAATGCTTATCCAAAACACCCGTCAATCACAGGAAAATCAGATGCTTCATCCAGCATGTGACACACAACACCTGGGAAGCTTGAAAAAGTCAACAGGTATGTTAAATGACAACTTACTCTCTGTTGTTGGCGATGTCATCATACATCATGGTGATGATCCTTTCCTCTGGGATTCCATTCTTACGCAAGATCTGGTATGCATGGCATGCATCAGCCTTAAAAAGAAATAATTTTTAAGTAATTAAATATTCATCAAGGAGCATGCTTCACTCAAAATTCATCACAAACAATGCTTTGAGAAAGAAGAAGTCAAAAAGTTACACTCCAACCATGAATGATGTGTTAGCTAAATTATTTGGAGATAGTGCTTTGTTTTCACAAATTCTTTGCATCTCTTTGTTATACTCTGGTATGGCATACCCTCGGTGCTGATCAATTCTGTAACAGGGACAGAGTAAATAAACTAACAAAAAACTAAATCTAAACTCATCTTTAACCAAGTTTATGTCCAAATGCCCTTTATAAAAATTAAAATTAAAATTAATATTTAAAGGGGCATTTGTAAAATTTCAAGGGTTGGTGGGTTCTGAGGGGTGCAACAGTTCATTCAGATTTTCTTTTAACATTAAGTGGATTTGAAATGCAAGGAAATATGATACTTGTTAAAATTGACTGGCTCTTGCATGTGTTTGTGAAATGTGCCACTGGTGGGGGGAGGATACGCTCACCTTTTTATGAACAACTGGTATTATCACTAGTTGATAGTGATTCATAACCACAAGCTTATGATAAAGTTGGAATCTGACAGAAGACTCTACTTTTAAAGATGTTTCTTATGATTATGGAAATGTGTTTTGCTGCTTTTATTCACAATGAACATAGTGACAGTAACCAAAGTCATCATCCTACTTGTTCTATATTTGAAGGTATCATATGTCAGAAATGTACCAGTGCTTACTGTACTTTACAGCCCTGTCGTCACTTTCAAATACAGATCTTGCGGACATATATATTTTATGTTTTTTTCTGAAATTCAGCTTATTTGGCCTGGAGGAACAAAATTGATACTATATTAACTCATTTTTTTCCCCCACTTCATTAAACTTAAGACTAGACATATTACTGCTATTATATGCCAGTTTCCAATTCCTGGGTCAGTTCAATAACACTTGCTTACCATTGTTTGTGAGAATATACGCACATGATCTGTTAATCTCTATAACCCACATACATGATGTACCATTACCGGTATCTACAGATATAGCCCATAGTGACCACAAACAACTTGTGACCAGCCTCATGGTCTGTCACCTGACCTAGTCACATGAGGTCATGTAGGGCATTGCAGAAGACTTCTCACCCTACGTGACACCTGTCCACAGACTACATGTTCTGTTCTTGTGGTGTACAGAGTTTTAAATTAAGGACAACACACAAGTGTCTGGAAGTTCGTTACAAGTAATGTACGAGTTGGGTAGCTGGCAGTTATCATAAATTGCAACGAATGTCCAGTTTCACGTGTGTTATTTCATTAAAAATACAGCATCCAAGTAACAAATGAGTTTAAAAATAGGTTCTGAAAGTTAACATAAATCAGTAAATAAATACAACAGAAATATGCTGCATGGATATTTCATGTAATACATATATTCAACCTCGGAGCAAAGAGAAATGTTATTTCCTTGCACTAAAAATAAACAAGGGGACACCCTGATGATAAAAGACAACCTGACTTCATTCAAAACATATGATGCATGCACAAAAATTTAGGCATAAGGGAACGTATGAATTACACGTTAGGCTTACGTTAGAGGTATGCTCTACATACCTTTACATACGCTGATATACGTCGACATAAGTTGGCTGAAGGTGAAACTGTACACCTAAAATATTGATAACGTATGCGTAACTTAATTACTTCTAATGTATGTCTAACGTATACATCCAAAATATATGGTGTATTCCACATATGTCTGAAGACAAAATAACTTATAAAACGTGTTTCTAACGTTTAGCTAGTGTATTTGCACCGTAGTACCAGCGTTTTGGGGGTTTCTGTATATATTTGGTCCCGGTCAGTACCTCCTCATCACTTCTGATGGAGACATCATAAAAGATGGAGGTGATGGATCCTGAAAGGCTGCACCAAGCAGAAAAAGCCATTCTCCAACATCAGCATGACATCCTCCAATTGACACTTTACCAGATTTTGCTTGGCCCCTGGTAGGTTTCTTCTTGGGAGGCATCTTGATGATGTTGACAGGGCGAAGACTACTGCTTGAATGAAGTATTTTGATGAATGGGTGTACACTACTAGTTATACTACTGCGGGGCCCGTTTTGGGCGCGCTAGTCATACGTTACTCATACGCTGGGCATACACTGACCATACGTTGAACATGCCAGACACACGCTGGCAATACGCTTTTATACGCTGTCATAAGTTATGTATAAGTCAGTGATACGCTCCTAATACGTTAGACATGCGTTACATATAGGGTGAACTTGTTAGGAATACATTATGGATACGCCAAAATCATGTTTTTTCGATGAAAGCTCGACGTATGACAGCGTACTTACTGTCTGTTACACGCTAGGTGCAAGTTACTCTAAAACGTTGTAGTGTGACAGGGCCATTAAACTAAAGATGTCTTTTGACTCTTGAAAATTGGTTATTCTTTCAGTGCTATTGTATTTGTAGGTTGTAAGACTAGTCCACTTTGGTATAGAGGGAACAGACAGGGGATTAGATCTTTAACTTTGATGTTTTAGACTGTAGTGGTCTTGGCATGTAGTTATTTTGGGAGGATACCCATGTACTTTTACTATCCGACATCCACTTGTTGCTAAAATGTATAGCTCTACAGTTCACAACCTCCTTTCTTTAACATGTTGACTTGAGCCTTGAGAAGATCCATCTGGGAGTAACCCGTATATTATTAGTGGACATTTATAAACACCATTGTGCCTCAACCACTTGTGTGAGACATGAATCAATGCTTAAACCAGGATGTTAATACAAGATGGTAGTATGTACTCATCTTACCTCTCCTTCACATGTTTGTCTGTACAGGACACAGACAATGGGATTTTCTCATATACACATACATAGGACATAGTTTCACTTTCATGTTTGAAGAGTGGTGATGAAGCAGTTCCTAGTCGCATTGGAGACCCTAGGTTAATTCCCCACATTATGTGATGTGTAAACACCTCCTTGTTGTCTCCTGCACCATGACATTGTGAGAATAATGCTGTATATAAGATAGCTACGGGATAAATCACAAAGAACATCGAAAAACGAAGCACGGTTTATGTCACAATAAAACATTGTACTATCATGACAAAATTCTGGAGATTCAAACAAGCACTCGCAACTTGATGACGTCATATATTGGACAACGTTATTTTTGAGAGGGGAGTGTCTAGTGAGTTGTTCCCCATAGATATAGCTGGACAACGTAGATAAACATGATGGCCAAATGATCGCAGCCAAGAGCTGGAGAGATTGACAATCGGTATTGGGTAAAAAGATACAGGTAATCGATGTGAGGATTGTGAGAATACATGTGTACATTTTATCATCATCATTTAGGAGGCTGTACATAATGTTGATATCTTATATAAGAAATAAATGACTTTTGGTCGTTGTTTATCGCACATAAATTACTGCAGGGAGAATAAAAAACTTTTCAGTAATTATATGGGAAACATGTCTATAGTTATTGTTTTCAAGTGTTACATACAAAAGTTTTTATCAAGACTTCATCAACTAATTATAGTTGAATATAAAATAAATTATTCAAACAAAAATATTTCAGGACTTACCCCCACCACACCCTATTCTATTGTAGCCTACAGCTTTTACATTGCAAGAACAAGTTGTAGTAGAACTTATTCTAATGTCTAATCAGATTCATGTTCCTGAAAGAAAATTCAAATTTAGATATTTAGGTACATTCACAAATGATTGCCTGTTACACTAAAAATGTGGAATATGAGATTTAAATGATTACTAGTCATGGGATATGAGGCAAGAAGTCACCTTGAAGATGACTCCTAGCCCAGTTGGGTGGAATGGTTCATGAGAGATAGTATTTCAATTCTTTCACTGCATGTTACTTTGTGTTGAGAGGAAAGCCGGGGCCTTGAATGTTTGCCACTTTGCTTAAATTAATTGTAAAGACAATCAACTCATAGCAGAAGAGTGAAGTTAAGGATTTTTTTCTCAAAACATTGATTGATCCAAAATTATAATAGACCAATCATTAACTCCAATTTGTCCCCCATATTTACGATAGAGGATATAAAAAACACACAACAATATTAAATCAGTGTTGGATGTGTAAAATCACAGTCTGTCATGATGACTACATTAAATTTAGCATATTGTTTCTTACTTATGTTAATGAGGGGGAGTATGCTCTTTGATATGCCATTGTCTTGCTAATAGAGTTCCCTCTCAACCACCATCCCTGCTTGGGTTACCTCCCTTTGCATTACATTTTCGACCCTTGGGTTGAAAGAATCTTTGCAAGTCATTTTGACAGCGGATTTCATACATTGCCAACACAAAGGGTTACATTTATACCTGATGCCTGTAGTTAAACCAGCCATTGGAACCTGCGACGATCACTCCCCAGTGTTTCGACTCTTCGTTTATACTTCGGGCATACGCTGCCACTAACAGAGGAAGGAGAGCTAACAATTTTCGTGCCATCTTTCCCGGACGTTCAGCAATTTACTGTGACAGGCACGCGACTTGGCTATATTTACAAACAGGTGCCCGTACAACTCCATACAGCGCAGAGGAAGCAACTCGTACATTACCAGAGGTTATTGGTGTACACGCGATGTTCAGAATATTCGTCATCACGAGTTCGTTCATGTCCATAAATTAAATAGATCTAGAAGGAAGAAGGAAAATGGAACCGGATCTTATTTCCCATTTTGATTTTGTTGACCCATGTTGATATCATTTGTAGGTTTTTGTTTTTTTTGTAACTGGAATTGTTTGGGTAATCTTTGACCCAGTAATTAAGAGATCAAGTTTAGGTGATATAAGGTTCACGCCTACACTGTTCAAACAGAAACACGATCTGTTAACCTGATAAAGCACGTGTCCAACACAGCAATGAAATGGCAATGTATTCTAACGTAGCAACCCAGGTGTGGAAATACACTCGACCGCTTCTTGATTTGTAGTTCATAGTTTTTAACTAAATACACTATTGGACAATTTAATGAATTTGGTTTACTTAAATGGTTAGGGAACTGAATGGGGTGTATAACAAATCCCGGGACACTAGTCAAGTTGCACTTGGCCAACAAAATGCAAAATGAAGAGTGAGTGAGTTGGTTTTAACGCATCTGTGAACAGTATTCCAGTTCAGTTTGATGTGAGAGGAAGCCCGAATTGATGCAGGTCTCAGACGTTTACCACTTCGGTAAAACCAATGGGCACGGGCATGGTGCTGATAACCTAGAAACATAATCGGGGCGAACCGGGATTCGAACCCACGATCATAGGTTTCTGGCGTGCCCAGCGAATTGCTGTGCATTTGACGACTTAGCCATCCGTGAGTAAGACTCACTCAAACGTCCTCCACATATTTTACATGCTGACAAGTTGAGAGGGGGTAGGCTTTACACCGCAGTCATCAATATTACATCACTATCACAGCGGGGGACACCCAAGGACGAACTTCATACGCTGTAAACCTGCGGTGAACTGAACCAGGTTTTTCGGCGTGACGAGCGAACGCTTTCCCCAAGTGGCTACCTTAACTAAAGACTACTAATTATGTTTATACAGGAAGCCTACTTGCCGACAGTAAACATTGCCTACCTCAAAAAGTAAAATCTTACCCAAAATACAAATAACTTCTAAAGGTTCCATTGTGTTTTTCGTATTCGACTTCAAAAATAAAAAAAGACTATTTCGGGGGAGTTGCAAAAGAACCAAACATTGCAACATTGCAAGACATGGTACAGGTATCGGGAACTGACAACCTTTTCATTTTCACGCGTCTACTGATGACCATTTCAACGTTGTCATGTCACTCCAGATAAACATGTTATTTGTCAAAGAAACACAAATACCCTCTATGTCTTTGTGTAGGCATAGTGACGTTATCAATACACTGAATTGCGGATGATGTGAGATTGGTTTTTGGACATTTTGGTGAACCTCATTTTTATATGACATTTATTTAACATGCACAAAAAAATCATGACTTCTCTTGTCACGCCGAAGAACCGGATTCGATTCTACACATGGGCACAATGTGTGAAGCCCATTTCTGGTGTCCCCGCTGGAATATTGCTAAAAGCTGCGTAAAACAATACTCACTCACTCTTCGTTCCCGGTATCCACAAGGCTCAAAGAGTTATTGTAGTAATGTCTTGCCTCTCGTGTTGACAAGGCGTTTGGCGTCTATTTAACTCGTCGTGGTTCGTCCCCCTTGTCCGTCCCACTGCGCGTTTGTTACGGCAATACGTACATCAGAATTAATCTAAGTTCAGACTAACCCCGCTTCAACATTTTCCATTAGTTCGACTAATTAGCATATTCCCGTTTCCATTGGACGTTCACATTCGTAACGAACTCGTGTCATTCCGGCGCAAGCCAAATAGCTTGCAGGTTACGGAAAAGGGCGAGTGGTGGCAATGTGGACTTTTAGTCAGTAAACCTCCTTGCCTCGGGGCGTGTGGGAGCAAAGTGGTTAACGCGTTCGCATGTCAAGCCGAAGACCCGGGTTCGATTCTCCTCATGGATACAATGTATGAAGTCCATTTCTAGTGTTCCCCGCCGTGTTATTGCTGATGCTAGGTAGTTGAACTACTGGAAAATATCACCAAGAAACTGTTTATTATGGTCAGTTAACTACCTTGCCTCGGGAAGATGCTTAGTTAGAGAAGCATTTCGTAACACAGTACAAACGACTTGATAGATCTAGCTCGCTGTTTAATATCGAGAGTCTAACACCGAGGCATTACATCTCCATGACGGTTTAGATCCGAGGCGATGCTGTAGTTATCAGTGACAAAGATCCTGTCGTGTGCCGATAGCAACAATGGCGTCATTTATTGTCTGCAGTTTGTAACCCCCTTCACACATGTTGACGAGAAGGTACAGGTTGGCGAAGGGCGTAACCAGTCTGTGGGAATCAAAGCTGTATAGATGGTAAGAGGTGGTAAATTCTAAACACAGATTTTCATTCTTACTGTAGGTCATGTCCAATGGTGACAGCCACGAAGCTCAAGGCGAGACCGGCGCAGTTGATTTGCCGACATCTGGGTACCCTGGGTCATCGGTCAGAACAGGACCAAAGTTATGCTGATAGGCTACCTTTAACACTACGACCACGTTTAACCAGACTGTTAATGACTATTCACCACAATCGTACTGATTAACGGGTTATTGGTTGATACAGACTGACCACCATGCCGATTAACACAGAAAAGGTCATGTTTGGTGAAGCTTTCATGACCAAAAGTAATCAGTAAGCAATTTCGCTGCAGAGAAGAAAATCTAAAGTAAAAAAATATCAACATATTTTGCTAAATATCAACAGGACAATCGATCAACTCTATTTTCTGTTGCGACCTACCTGGGAGGGATTAATTACAGTACACACCTTCAGGAGTGAGTGAGTTTGGTTTTACACCGCTTTGAGCAATACTCTAGCAATATCACGGCGGACACACCTGTTGGAGCTTACCTTGGCGAGATGCATTACGGGACACACCTACTGGAGCTTACCTTGACGAAATGCATTACGGGACACACCTGCTTGAGCTTCCCTCAGCGAGATGCATTACGGGACACACCTCCTAAAGCTTACCTTGACGAGATGCATTACGGGACACACCTGCTGGGGCTTACCTTGACGAGATACATTATTGGACACACCTGCTGGAGCTTATCTTGACGAGATGCATTACGAGACACACCTGCTGGACTTGACCTTGACGAAATGCATTACGGGACTAACCTGCTGGAGCTTACCTTGGCGAGATGGATTACAAGACACACCTGCTAAAGCATACCTTGACGAGATGCATTACGGGACACACCTGCTGGAGCTTACCTTGACGAGATGCATTACGGGACACACCTGCTCGAGCTTACCTTGACGAGATGCATTATGGGACACACCTGATGGAGCTTACCTTGACGAGATACATTATTGGACACACCTGCTCGAGCTTACCTTGACGAGATGCATTACGAGACACACCTGCTAGGGCTTACCTTGACGAGATACATTATTGGACACACCTGCTGGAGCTTACCTTGACGAGATGCATTACGGGACACACCTGCTGGAGCTTACCTTGACGAGATGCATTATTGGACACGCCTGCTGGAGCTTACCTTGACGAGATGCATTATGGGACACGCCTGCTGGAGCTTACCTTGACGAGATGTATTCCCGGGCACTCCCGCTGGAGTTGATCGACCAAGGGTTCATAACACTGCAGATTGACCAGGTTAAGCTTACTGTGAAGCACCCAGTCAACCGTTTCTTTATACATCACCGTCTGAGTTACGATGGCCTTGAAAACCTCACGGACTTTGTCTCTGGCCTAAGGGAAATGGAGAACACAGTCATATATACCCAACAGAGAAAAGTATACTTCTCATAAATAATTAGGCAACAGAAGCTATTTGTATGTAACATTTTTATCAACGAAAGTTTAAACTCTCAAATCAATCATGAGATATAAGTTGCTTCGATGTGATACTTCACTCAAAGGGGTATCGTATCGGAATAAAAGATCTATTTCAGATTGCTCTCAACAAAACTATAAGTATGCACCCAAATATCCAAAAGTGTCAGTAAAGTTCAGTAGGCAACAAAAATGCGAGGAACGCCCAAACCCTACACTAAACTCCATTGAAAGTATTTTAGTATGGGCGTCTTAGCGATTAGGAACAATCTGTCCTGTAATACACTCTTTTATACTTAATTATCACATTCGCACTAATACCCTAATTCGCATTGGTGGAGCCTATTATTGTTAAACATATTGTTTTGGGCAACTGGGTGTCCAGGCGGACTTGTTTTGCAAAGAGTGGGTACTGTGGATAGGATTCATAGGAATGATCACATAGTTTTCAGAAACCCATGCTTGTATGCTTGTAACAGGCAACCTGTCAGATCCGGTGGTCCGGCTCGTTGACTTGGTTGATAGCGTGTCATTTTAGTTCACAATGTCAATCACTGGTTTATCTGAATCACAATACATTTTTTATAGAACGCCGTCAAAACTGATGAAGACGCAAACAAACAATGACCCGTCTGCATTGTTGTGCCACATTACAGAAGTCGTGGTTCGATTATGTTTATGGACTATGACATTGTACCACATTACCGAAGACGAGTTTCTATGCTGTTTATTGACTATGAGGTTGTACCACCTTACCGAAGACGTGTTTCTATGCTGTTTATGGACTATGACATTGTACCACATTACCGAAGACGAGTTTCTATGCTGTTTATTGACTATAAGGTTGTACCACCTTACCGAAGACGCGTTTCTATGTTGTTTATTGACTATGAGGTTGTACCAATTTACCGAAGACGTGTTTCTATGCTGTTTATTGACTATGAGGTTGTACCACCTTACCGAAGACGTGTTTCTATGCTGTTTATTGACTATATATGAGGTTGTACCACCTTACCGAAGACCAGTTTCTATGCTGTTTATTTACTATGAGGTTGTACCACCTTACCGAAGACGTGTTTCTATGCTGTTTATTGACTATGAGGTTGTACCACCTTAC